TAACGCCCCCCCCCCCCCCCGCCCCAGCTGCCTGCCTGCCTGCCTGAGCTATGCGGGGACCCGGTGCTTCCCACCATGGCTGCGGTGCCCCACAGGACCACCCGAGTCTGGTGCCTGCAGGCAGGTGCCACCTGGAGGGGCCCACCATTGCCACAGAGAGCAGCACCAGCTCCCACCCCTCCCACAGTCCAGGGACCGCTCCACCCACCAGCAGCTCGCCATCCCCTCCCCGCCAGAGAGGCAGGTAAGTCAGCGGGGTGTGTGCATTACGGGGATTTAATCAACCCTAAATTGAAGTGGTGTTTTTTAAAACTCACTGTTTCAATTTAGGGTCTCCATTTTATCTACATACACCCCAGGGGACAAGGCCACATGGGAAGACCACTCCTCTACCTAGAGGGTGCGCCTACATGTTGCCCTATGGTGACATTGTTAATGCACCATGCTCTAGTACTTCCTTTTGGAACTACTAAAGCACAGCACAGCAACTGCCCATACTGTGCCATGTGCACGGCACATGGTTATTTTTAGCAACTACTTCACCATAGCAGCTCACTATAATGGGGAGCATGCTGCTACAGTGAGGTAGCTGCTGGTCACCCATGCAAGCTACATCGCCATAGTGTACTACTATAGCGACATAACATCACGTGTAGATGCACCTAGAAGGGAAGGGAATGCAGAAGAGGTGAGGAAGTAATCTATGGCAGGGGCCAGTAACACATTAATTGCCCAGGATGAAGAAATTGCAAAGGGCACAAGGGAACAAAGTCTGACTCTTAAGCCCTTTCTACACATTGCACATATTATACAATTATTTGGTTAATTGCACAATTAATTTACACTGGCTACACATGCAAATTAACTGTCACATCATAAAAAGGTCTATCCAGCTATGAAGTTAGAGCTGGAAGATGTTTACTAACTCCATAGCTGGTTTCTGTCCAGCTTTACATAGATACTAGGGTCAGAAGGAACCTCAACAGATCATCCAGTCCGACCCTCTGCCCTGGGCAGGAAAGAGTGCTGGGGTCAGATGACCCCAGCCAGATGCCTCTCCAGCCTTCTCTTAAAGATCCCCAAGGTAGAGGAGAGAACCACCTCCCTTGGAAGCCCGTTCCAGATTCTGGCCACCCTTACCATGAAGTTCTTCCTGATGTCCAGCCTAAATCTGCTCTCTGTCAGTTTGTGACCATTGTTCCTTGTTACCCCAAGACGTGCCCTAGTGAACAGAGCATCTCCAATTCCTTGCTGCCTCCCCTGATGAATTTGTAGGCAGCCACAAGATCACCTCTCAGCCTTCTCTTCCGGAGGCTGAAGAAGTCCAGGTCCGAGTCTCTTCTCATGGGGCTTAGCCTGCAAACCCTTAACCATACAAGTGTACCTTCTCTGGACCCTCTTTATGTTATCCACATCCTTCTTAAAGTACAGCACCCAAAACTGGATGCAGTACTCCAGCTGTGGTCTGACCAATGCCGCATAGAGGGGAAGTATCACCTCTTTTGTTCTATTTGTCATGTATCTGCTATTGAATAATAAAGTGAGGTTAGCTTTGCTGATGATTTCATCACACTGACAACTCATGTTCATCTTGGAGTCCACTATGACTCCGAGATCTGTTTCTGCTTCTGTGCTGCTGAGAGGGTCATTCCCCAGCCAATAAGTGTGCTGGATATTTTTTCAACCTAGATGCAGCACCCTGCATTTGTCCTTCTTGAACAGCATTCTGTTGTGTTCAGCCCACTCTTCCAACCTCTCCAGGTCCACCTGCAATCATTCCCTACCCTCTGGTGTGTTCACTTCACCCCACAATTCTGTATCATCCACAAACCTTTCATCAGTCCCATGGGACGCCCATGCCCGCTACGGGACAGGGAGATCCAGGTGAGGGAGATCCCCTGCCCTCCATCAATGCTGACCTCATGAAGGAACACCTTGAGATCAAGTCAGCCGGCCCTGACAATCTACACCCCAGGGTACTCAAGGAGCTGGCGAGCATCATAGCCCAGCTTCTGGCACGGATCTTTGAGAACTCCTGGCACTCTGGTGTACTGCCTGAAGACTGGAAGAAGGCCAATGTGGTGCCTATCTTCAAGAAAGGGAGGAAAGTGGATCCAGCAAACTATAGGCGCATCAACCTGACTTCTATCTCAGGGAAGGACTTAGAAAAGTTTATTAAAGAAGCCATGCTTAATGGACTGGCTAACACCAACATCCTAAGGGATAGCCAGCATGGGTTTCTTGCAGGTGGGTCTTGCTTGAACAATCTCATTTCCTTCTATGACCAAGTGACCTATCACCTGAACAAGGGAGAAGAGATTGATGTCATATATCTTGACTTCAAAAAAGCCTTCGATCTGGTATCCCACGATCACCTCTTGGCAAAACTGGCCAACTGTGGCCTTGGGTCCACCACGATCCGCTGGCTGGGGAACTGGCCCTGTGGTCAGACCCAGAGGGTGGTAATTGATGGAAGTCAATCGTCATGATGCCCTGTGACCAGTGGGGTCCCCCAAGGCTTGGACCCATATTGTTCAACATCTTCATTAATGATGTGGACATTGGAGTCAGAAGTGGACTTGCCAAGTTCGCCGATGACACCAAACTTTGGGGCAAAGCATCCACACCAGAAGACAAGTGGGTGATCGACGCTGACTTGAACAGGCTCAGCAAATGGGCGGACGAGACCCTGATGGTGTTTAACGCTGAAAAATGCAAGGTTCTCCACCTTGGGAGGAAAAACCTGCAGCATCCTTATAGGCTCGGCAGTGCTACGCTGGCTAGCACTACAGAAGAAAGAGACTTGGGGGTCATCATTGACCACAAGATGAACATGAGCCTGCAATGCAGTGCTGCGGCTAGTATAGTGACCAAAATGCTGGCTTGCATCCACAGATGCTTGTCAAGCAAATCCTGGGACATCATTGTCCCCTTGTGCTCGGCGTTGGTGAGGCCACACCTGGAGTACTGCGTCCAGTTTTGGGCTCCACAATTCAAAAAGGATGTGGGAGAAGCTTGAGAGAGTCCAGAGAAGAGCCACGCGCATGATCAGAGGTCAGGAAAACAGACCTTACTTACGACGACAGGCTGAGAGCCATGGGGCTCTTTAGCCTGGAAAAGCACCGGCTCAGGGGTGATCTGATGGCCACCTATAAGTTTATCAGGGGTGACCACCAG